ACTTGACGGAGTAAATGAGGGTATCCTCTTGAACGCGGTCAGAATATATAATATTAGATATGCAGATGATACTATGGTGATGGCAGATATCATAAAGAGATTGCACAAAAAATAATATGGCGTATAGGAAAAGTGAGGGTAGTTTTCAATAAAATGAGCAAAATTTTGAAAAGTCACAACAAGTGTCGAAACAAAAGTAATACATCTAAAATGCTATATTTTTACCACACTGTTATACGACATGGATTCTTGGACCTTGACAGAAGCCACAATTAAAAAACTAGAAGCCTTTGAGGTTTTGCTATACACATAGACGAATGCTCAAAATACCACGGACAGCTCACATGACGAACAGGGAAATGCTACAAACAATGAATAATAATGAATAATCAGAAATCATGTATACCATTAAATGCAGAAAACTTGAGTCACAGACATTCTTTCAGACATGTAATAAGACATGTACCCTGGGCATGTCTGAAAAAAGAATCTCATCACTGCGAAAACTTAGAACTTGGTTAGGGAAAACCTCAGCAGAATTGTTTCAAGCTACTGTCAACAAAATAATAATTACCTTACATGATTGCTAACATTCGAATCAGATATGCATCTCAAACTTCTAAAAACTTTAAAAAAAAATTTTCGAAATAAATACATATTCGTAATGCAGACTTTAAATATTTTATATTGCAATATGTTTCCATTAAATTTAAAGTTACCGCAAAGTTAATGTTCTTTAAACTCTTTAATATTTAATCTTAATTTCCTATTCGGTCGCCGCGCCGGCGGTTCTCCATTCTACCGAGTGCTATATCTTCAGTAAAACATTTAAAACGTTGGGTAGTTTTGTGTTCCACGCTTGTGTGACCATTTCATATTAAAATTTCAAGTGATTAGATAGGGGTATGCAGGAATATAAATGTCTTTGAAATTATAATAGTAATTTAAATTAGAAATTATTATACGCCAAAAGTAAATTGGTTCATGTAAGGAAAATTATCGCAATATGCTTTTTTGGATCAGCCGAGAAAATATTCTCGCTTTTTTTTGAGAACGTTCCACTTTCAATCAAAAGAGAGAGCAGAAAATTTATTAAGAACACTAATTTCCACTAATATATATCTAGATAAATTATGGAAAAGAATATTAGTATTGTTTCTTAAAACATTCATCAGAAAGTATTCACGTACAAACCATAATAAAAACTTTTTTTTTGTAAAGTTGTTTTGTAAATTTGTTTGTTGTAAATTGTTTTGTTAAATATTAATTGTTTTTTCAATTTGCATCTATAACTTCTGTAGAGGACATTTTTCCATACAATATTGTAAGACTATTACGCGATGGACTATTTTTACCAATTATAGTAATGAAACCCAGGTCGCTTGCTACCTCGATCAAATTACATTTTTAAAGATTTCGATTCTAATGCTTCAACCGCAAGCGACTTCGTTTACAATTTGAATTCGATTTGTATGACAAGTTCAGGATGCATTAGCAATGAAACGTTTCCTTCATCAAGTTATGTCTTACCGGCTGAATTTTACATAAATTTGTAGGATTTGATGATATTTCTGCATAAACAGTTTCTCAATTTTGTCTTTAGCAACAACGAAAAAGTATTTTTAGGATAAAATTTAGGAGTAAAAGTATTTCGATTCGCCATAAAACACCAAGTAACCAGCAGCATATGTGGATTCTTGCGGTACGATGGAATTTTGAACTTGAACTTTCTGAATACTTTGATAGTTTTATTTAGAATGACATCAGGGGACGAGAACTTTTGACTTTGGCTCGAAGAGATTAAAAGGAAATTGGGGTAACTAAAGTTGGCCACGTCAAAAGAATTCTCCAAGCGTAAATGAATGCATAAACAATGAAGTGTCACGCGAACACAGATGTGAAATAATGATTTGGAAAATCAAACAAAGGAGTGTAAGAGAGAAAATTGTTCTAAGAACTATGGAGAAACATGACACCGCAATAATCCTAAAAGATGCTCGAAATATTGCGAAGAATTAAAAATTACAAAATTAGAAATAAAGGAACGAAATTGGTTTTGTGACATATAGTGTAAAAATTGTACAGATAGATGTGAACCAGCAACGAGAAGTGATGGTCTAAAATAGCAACTAGAAAAAAAGGATTATCGTACAAAATATGATTTTACTGAAAGGAAATTAGTAGATCGTTGTAGACTTATGGGAATGGGCGTTAGAAGAGTAAATGCAGATATCAGTCTATACATAATCTTCGGAACAACGCTCAAAATTCAGAGATTGGATTTTTAATCCTTATTTACCAGTCCCAGGATCAAAGAGTTTGTTATTTTTAGATCATCCACAATCTTTACAAATATTTATTATTTCAGAGGAAGACAAAGCTGTTGAGATACTTACTATTTTAAAGAAAACAGCAGATATTATACAACCTCTAGATGTGTACAGTTTTCGAACATGGAAAGGTTTTATTAGGTGATTTTATGATTTGAGTTTTATTAAAAACCATGATTAATAAAAATGGTTAACTTCTCATTCTTCTTCTTCTCTTTCTAAACCATTGGGTCTGTTCTTCCTGATAATGTGTCTCTCCATCTCTTGGATAGAGAGTATCCTGGTGGTCTGATTCTAGGCGGGTTATTTGTAAGCACAATTTTCGACAGTCTATTATCTGGTATTCTACGGACGTAGTAGTGCCAAAATTTCTTACGCTATCTTCCCCATTACGACATTGTCCTCAGAGACTTCATTTCTGCTACTCTTAACATGCTCTAAGTTTTGTTCGTGTCTCAGCATATTTTGTAACAAAGTTATCGCTTCCTCGATTATTTCATCCATTAATAAGTCGAACAAAAATGGGCTAAGACTATCATCTTGTCAGATACCAACTGGTGTGGGGATATTTCCGGTCTTACTTTAGTCGTGTTGTTGGTCTTAAATTTGTGTGGTATGTTTATGATGTCAATGGTGCACATCTTTGTGTCAGCAGGTTCGTCAAATCGACTAAGCATAATGCAGGTATGTTGAACTTAATGGTATTAATTGATATGTAAGAAACAACGTAATCGAAATACAATCAAAATACATCCAATCAACTGTCGTCATAGAAATACACAAATTCCAAATACATAGAACACCAACCTAACTAATTTTGCCTTTCCAAATCATGATTGGTCCCATCCTGACCATTGCCCAAAATATGACATCAAACACTATTTTGACGACTTAAACTACCATCAATCTATTTTTTCTACGTTCGCAACCAATTTTCATCTTAACAAAACAACATTTTTTTTATCCTTTTAGGTTTTTGTTTCTCTGATAGAGTTGTTTGCCAATTTACATATTTTACTATCGATCCCTGGAAATTCCCATTGCAACGCAATCACAATATAAACAATTAACACTCTGCTGTATCGGCCTTCAATTACCGATTTTTTTATGCCTCTGTGTTTTACTACAATTACAGAACAAATATCTCCTTTCAAACATCATTTCGGATTTGTATTTTTGAACCAGAAATTGCGAACACACTTGTCCAAATTATGCGCTTTGCAGTCAAAACTAAATTCTGGACAATTACAAACACAACTAGTAGAGTTTTTGAATCTCAAGTTTGTTATTCTAGTTTCAGATCATCCATTTCATTAACATCCATTTGAACTATCATTAATCGTTAACTTTGGTCAAACATTTATCATTTAATTTGATTTAAGTCGTCAATTCAAGTTAACGATATATTGTGGATTTCAAACAAGAATAGTTCCTATAATATTTCTTTTATACAAAAATAATGATTTATGGCATTACGTAAGCTTGTAGTTCTGTGCTTGACGTTATGTTAACAACAGACTTCGTTGCTCACGTAATACAATAAATTTTTATTTTTCAATTCTTTAATAATAAAACTTTTTTAAATTTATCAAATTTGTTTCATAATAGATAGCTAATAAAAAAATTTAGCAAGAGTATTTGAAAAAAAATCGTTCCTTTGACTTAGGCACAAATTTAACTGTTATCAGAGAAAAGACTCGACGAACTTTCAACAGCAACAGATTTCTCTATCTTATTTCTGGCGCAACACCAACCTATCGCATCTTAATTAATTGATGTACGGAAACGAACAGAAGAAGCGAGTAGTATTTATTTTCGTCCCTGTAAACAAACAACTCTCCCTCCAGAACAAGTTACAACGAGTTTAATTACATTCGCTTCAAGGGAACAAATTGTTTTATTTAACCTTGAAAATCTAACATTTAATGATTCTTAAGAAAAAATGTTGTGGAAAACAACTTGTTATTTCAAATTATTTTCAACAAAAGTATTTTTTCTCAAAGGGTTTGCAGATTTAGTAATTTCGTTCTATGTGTTATTATGGTAATGAGCGACTCGAAACTTTCCACATTTAAGAGAAGCTTATGTTAAAAACTTGCACAAAGTTTCCAAAAAGTAAACAAACTTTCTTTACAAATCCCCTAGATTTCGTGCCATAACCCCATAATAATAAACGTAGTAATAAAACTCCCCATTTTAGAAAATAATTAAATCTCCTCGTTTTAAATGTCTTTCATGTACGTAACAATTCGTAATCATGTATAGAGATATAATTTGTGCGAACATTAAACTGGAAGCAGTGTGGGCTAGTAAAATAGGTAAGGGTCATTACCTCGGTTATCTGGAACGCTATAAACTAAACGCCGCGTGACCTTTGATGAAACCAAAGCTTTGACATTTGGTGGAAACATAAATTTTATCTGCAGAAAATTTCCGCGGAGATAGTCTTTCGCTTTGCAATAAACCATAACGCGCATCGTAAAACGGTTTTTACGGGAAGGTTTTTAAAAGATTGACGTTCAAAATTTATCCGTTGCTGAAAAGGATTTTATGTAATCGTAACCTATTCTTCGAAGCCGGAACGAATTTCTTTTCTTAAAGTATCCACTTATTGGTTTTTCAATACATTAGAGTTTATTGTTGCTGAAAGCTTTTTTTTTATAATTTTAGGAGCTCAAATGAGGAACGATGTCACTCCAGTTTCCACGTCTCCACCAACAATGCCACCAGCACACGTTACAGGTTGTATAACATTCTAGTTCGGATTGAAACAATAACTCAAATAAAATTTCAAAATCGATTTCAAACTATACGTTCAATCTCAAATAGTAAACATGAGTAGCTTTTTATTGTTGGTTTGGGAGTTTAGGATTTGAGAATCTATGTTTTGAACTTTTGATGTTTCGATGCGTAAAATTGTTTCTTTCAAGTTTCACTTAAGATAAGAACAAAAACGTTATTTTAATTGGTTTCGGAGTTGAACACAAATTTTAATTAACTACTCACTAATTGAATTCTAAACTTTAATAAGTTATATTTTTTTACAGCCGATCAAGTATCGGAGTTTTTGCGTTTGCATCCAGATTTTTTGGAACGTTATGTGACGGAGGAAGTGGAATTGGAACAATTGGAACGATGGATAATAAGGAGATCTCAAAGATTGAAGAAAAAAACCGGGTCGTGCTCTAAAAACAACCGAAAAACAAGCTTATCGAGATGGAAGTTTTGCGTTCACGCAGATAAACGACAAATGCTCCAAGATCTAACTCACAGTTTACAATTGAACCCGCAAAAAGATCATGTGTTATGGGAACTTGCAAATTGCATTTCCTCGGCGGTTGGTGTCGACGGTTTTAGGTAAGTAAACAAACAAGGAAGTTTTCCTCGGCGGATCATTTTAGTTTAATAATATCAAAAGGCGCCAGATCACTGCACCATGTATAGGTTGCATGAACCTTCCGCTACAAAAGAATGCGAAATGAAGTTCTCTTTGGAGGTCCTATCTAAATACGCGATTTCAAATGCATTTATGGTAAAATATACGAACTGATACCGCTGGGTGTAGAGTTGCTGAATTGGGTTTGCATATAGTTTACGTAACTATCTAAACTGGTTCTTTACCATATTGACAAATAAATCAAGTAATAATCAGATAAAATTACGGTAAATCCAAATTAAAATCAATTAAAGTGTAAATTTGTCTTCCTAATTTTCATACAACAGGTGTATTCGTGCGAATTCACCCTGTTTCATTAAGATGTGCACCAGACCATATCTAATTCGACACGTAAATGTTGATTACAAAATTTTGAGTAGTATTTTTCTCACTGAAAATATATTAGTAATTTAATTTTTGTTCAAGCACGCTTAACCACTCTATCAATTAACGGGTCATCAAATGGAATTGCTTATTCAGCTCTTCCGTAGAGTTTTCTCCCACTAATTTCCGTTTTAAATGTAAAGCAAACTTAAATTATTAATATCACGTAATGTTCGAAACTTCAAAGTTTTGAAACAAAATAGACTAAATGAAACTTATTGACGTCTTTGATTGTTCTCTGTTGAAGTGTAAACTGAAACGTTTCTATTCTTTTGAAGTTTGAAGTGTAACTTATTTCAGATTACATATCCCAGATAAAAATAATGGAGACCAACTTTGCTTATACTTAGGACCTGAAGATAAAACCGAGCATGACGAGATCAAAATTCACAAAGTTAAAAATGGGGTTACCGTTCCTTCGTATGTCGCAAGAACTTTAGAACCCATCCATTTGTCTAGCGATAGTCTTGATCCTAGATTTCCGGGAGCAATATCCGAAGAGGTAAGCGTACCATTGAACTTTCTCTTATCGTTTTAATGATAGGGAATGAAAATACTCGATTCCTTCAAGATTCTTTTCATAGTGTGTGGAAATGACGTGTGATCGATTTCGGGAAATTGCTTTCCACTCCAATGAAAAGAGCTAATCAAATTAACACAGCACTTCTTAAGCTCTTTTCTATCATGACATTTTTTATTATTAAAAATATTAAAATACGTATATAAAATAAAGGTATAAAAATCATTATATGAAAGGTTAATAATTTATTTTGCTTTTTAATAAAATATGCAATTTTATAACGTGTTTAGTAGCCACATATTAATGATTAAAAAGGCATAAAAAAAAATTGACCTAGTTTCTTTATCAAATAATAGACACTGTATTATTTGTGTAGAATTTATGATATGGCAAGTAATGTGAAGAATGAGCTTTTGAAAAGAATTGAATTGCATTATTTTGCAATCCAGCTTGACGAGTCGACCATGAAGCAAACGCCGCAATATTGCTTGTGCATGTTAGATACACTTTTGAGAATTCCATTCAGGAAAATATACTCTTTGCAAAACCCTTAAAAACTCATACAACTGGAGAAGCAATATTTGAAATGGTTTGAAAAAAATTGAATAAACTGGTCTTATTGTATGTATGTGTGCACAGATGGTGCAAAATCAATGACAGGAAATTTTTCTGGTTTTGTGGCACGGGTAAAAAAGATCAACGAAACAATTGAATGGACACATTGCTGTATATATAGACTAGCATTGGCATGTAAGCGTATTCCTACAGAATATTCCTACTGTCTATTTCATGCGCTTTGTGAAGACTTTGGAATCCATCACGTTTCCTTATTACTTCACGCGAAAGTTAGATGGCTTTCCCGTGGCAAAGTTTTGACACGCCCGTTTGAGTTAAAATCTGAAGTTCAAGCATTTCTTATTGACCATCCATTTCATTTATCTTCTTGTCTATCTGACATTCTTTGGCTGCAAAAGCTTGCATATTTAGCCGATATTTTTTGTAAATTAAATCTTTGGTGTGCATGATACAATTGAATCCATGCTAAAAAAGTTTAACTTTTGAATCCAATGGCTGTAGATGAATGAGTACATTATTTTAGTTCTCTCAGCAGCTTTTTATTCGAAAATTCAGAATGATTGGATATGTAATCCTTTCCAAAAAGATCTAAATTTGGAGATCTCTCTAACTTTACTGCAAAAAAAACTTATTGAGTTATCCGATATAGCTCCTTAAAAGGGATTTTTAAAGACAACTCTTTAATAGACTTTTGGCTCAGTATTGGAAATGAATACGCTATTTGTCAGAAAAAGCTACCAACGTTTTATTACCTTTTTGCACAACATATCTATGTGAGAAAGGATTTTCCAGATATAGTTACTAGAAAGATATTTATCTTTCAACAAAAACAGATTTAATGCAGAACCTGATTTAAGACTGAAACTGTCAGACATTGAACCTAACGTTAAATTTCTGTGTTCTAGCAAACAGGCGCAAGTATCTCATTAAGTGTGTTGTGTCAATTTTATGTTTTGATTTTCTTATATCTATTATTTTAGTCTTTATTAATGTAAAGTTTGTGTTTAGATTTATTTCGATTATGTTTTTATTTCTTGTTATGAATTAAGAGTGTTGTATCAATTGTCTAGCATGATTTTATTTTTTCTTACCTGTAAGTAACAACTACACAAGGGGTTCGTCATTTTTTTCTGAGTTATAAGGGGTTCGCAAGATGAAAAAGGTTGGAAAACATTGTGGTAGAGCATAGGGCAGCAGTAAAGGCTCCATCTAGTGTTGGCAGCAAGGCGTTTCACTTCTCTCCTCGTTTTCCCGGCTTCCATTGCTTGCGTCTTTCTTGGATGCCCTACTCTCCGTGCTCCTGGGGGGTTCCAGTCAAGCGGTGACATCTCCTGCTCTATGAGGCTTCCTTAGGGTGTGNCTTTCCCGTGGCAAAGTTTTGACACGCCTGTTTGAGTTAAAATCTGAAGTTCAAGCATTTCTTATTTTCATTTATCTTCTTGTCTATCTGACATTCTTTGGCTACAAAAGCTTGCATATTTAGCTGATATATTTTGTAAATTAAATCTTCGATGTGCATGATACAATTGAATCCATGCTAAAAAAGTTTAACTTTTGGATCCAATAGCTGTAGATGAATGAGTACAAATATTTTAGTTCTCTCAGCAGCTTTTTATCCGAAAATTCAGAATAATTGGATATGTAGTCCTTTCCAAAAAGATCTAAATTTGGAGATCTCTCTAACTTTAGTGCAAAAAAAATTTATTGAGTTATCCTGTATATAGCTCCTTAAAAGCGATTTTTAAAGACAACTCTTTAATAGACTTTTGGCTCAGTATTGGAAATGAATACGCTATTTTGTCAGAAAAAGCTACCAAAGTTTTATTACCTTTTTGCACAACATATCTATGTGAGAAAGGATTTTCCAGATATAGTTACTAGAAAGATATTTATCTTTCAACAAAAACAGATTTAATGCAGAACCTGATTTAAGACTGAAACTGTCAGACATTGAACCTAACGTTAAATTTCTGTGTCCTAGCAAACAGGCGCAAGTATCTCATTAAGTGTGTTGTGTCAATTTTATGTTTTGATTTTCTTATATCTATTATTTTAGTCTTTATTAATGTAAAGTTTGTGTTTAGATTTATTTCGATTATGTTTTTATTTCTTGTTATGAATTAAGAGTGTTGTATCAATTGTCTAGCATGATTTTATTTTTTCTTACCTGTAAGTAACAACTACACAAGGGGTTCGTCATTTTTTTCTGAGTTATAAGGGGTTCGCAAGATGAAAAAGGTTGGAAAACATTGTGGTAGAGCATAGGGCAGCAGTAAAGGCTCCATCTAGTGTTGGCAGCAAGGCGTTTCACTTCTCTCCTCGTTTTCCCGGCTTCCATTGCTTGCGTCTTTCTTGGATGCCCTACTCTCCGTGCTCCTGGGGGGTTCCAGTCAAGCGGTGACATCTCCTGCTCTATGAGGCTTCCTTAGGGTGTGGCCAATCCAACGCCATTTCCTCTCTTTGGTCACTAATAGATCGTTGGTTTATTCTCTACCATAAGTCTTCTATGGATATCACCTCTGGCTATCTCACATTCATAATGCGTCGCAGGCATTGAATGTACACTTGTTTCACTTCTCTGTTCCACATCCATTCAGGAAGACTGACTTTCCGTTGCTATTGAACAAGCGAAGTTCTGTTCTTATTAAAATATTCTTGTTCTATGTATTCGGGTTTTCACATCCTCCTCTATTCCTTAATCTTTCCCAATAATGCTAATAAGGTACAAGCATGTTTCAACTCGTTCTAAGGCTCTTCCATTTACTGTTAGCTTAGCTCCGACTACAGAATTGATCTTCATCTCCTTCGTTTTTTGACATAGACTTTTAGTCCTGCTACTTCTGCTTCGTCCGTTTTCTCAGCCTTACCTCCATGTCACAAAATCTTAGTGATAGTAGGCAAATGTCGTCTGCAAACTCAAGACTCTTCTCATGTCTATCTTGCAATTCCCCAATGAATACCATTTCTCCTTCCTTCTGTAACCTTTCTCAACACTATTCAATACCATCACGAACAGCACGGGGACAATATGTTGAATAGGATCGGTAGGTTTTCCATTATGCACCAATTGACACTCATACCCCTCATACACATCATTGATAACACTAATGATCTTTAAAGAGACCCCATATTCTTCCAGAGTATGCCACATGGTTCCTCTACTTAATGAGTCACAGGATTTCTCAAAGACGATCAACGTCAAGTAGAGTGTAATCTGCCATTTTGAGCTCTGCTCAATAATATGAGGAGAGTATTGATAAGATCAACGCAACTTCGGTGTATAATATATCTTACAAATAGACTCGTTGTGAAGAACTTAACTTAAAAAATAACTTCTGCGCGTAAAAATAAATATTCTTCTGCAAATCTATGGTGTAGTAGTTACGATATATGTTACATTGCAAATTGCTTTCTCTAATAAGAGTAACTAAAATAATAAAAATGAACGTGCAAAGAAGCAAAGAAAATCTATGCAGAGTGGCATCTGTCATTCACCGATCATGGAGTGACATCTAAATATTTTTGTTCTTCTCTTGAATTAAGTAACTGTAAATTAGTAAATTATTAAGTAACTTAATAATGTACTTGAAATCGCCATATTAAGAACAAGGAAGTTACCGAAGCTAAAGTAACAAAATAAAAGAAAAGGGTTAACGAACTGAAAGAAAAATATTCTGAACTATAAGGGGATCTAAATTGCAGATATTATATAGATTACATATATATAGACTATAGACTGTTGATGAAGTTGAATCTATTGAAACTACTGGAGATAAAGTGCTGCTTTCGAAAAAAGTGAAATAGGATGGATTAATAAGAAGTCATACTGCAAAACCACTTAGGTCTGCAAATTCATTATCACCTCCTTAACTGAAACCCGCTACCACGTCAGTGTGCCTCACTTTTTACAAAAAAAAGTTAGACATAAATAGAGAAAATAAAGTTAATTTCAAAATGTAAAGCAATGGAAACTCAATACACTTTGTTTTTGGAATATCATCAAGTTTACCATCAAAAAGTTGAGATTAAAACTAAAAGATGAAGCGGCGGGTCGGTGATAATACCCTAATACGTACAAATCTTAAAGTGAGAAAGAAACCGTCAAAACCCCAAAGAGAAAATGACGAAAAATGAAATATTGAAATGTTACACAATTTACCGCAGCGATTGAGGACTCAAATTTAAATCTAGAATACATACATTTGGGCTGTCTTGTATGTTAATGTCAAAAATTTTTAGTTTCCACATCTTAAACACAGTCATTTCTTACTGAGTTTGTTCTACGTCTTTTAACATTTACTTTCACTTTGGAGAGACGAACGCATTATTATTAAATTACGGTGCTTGGTTTGATTCATTAGTCAATTTAATTAAAACATTGTTGTGGTAATGGATTTCTCGGAAGTATTGGAACAACAATCTACGGATATTAATTTAATATCTGTTTAAATTCTCGAACAATTTTCCTAAAACTATGAATAACAATGAAATTTGTCTTCCTGGAAGGAATGGAGAAGCAAGTTTCTATAAAGCCACCGAAGTTCATTAGAGATAGAAATGCTCCTATAACATTGAACCTCGTAAGGGTAAGGACAACTATGATATATTATACATTTTAATTTGTATTCAATGGAAGAATGGAAATCTTAATAAGAACATGCAAAGAAAGTTGAAGAGTTTCATAGGAAGCTTTAAACTCCGAACTTTTAAATCTGTGCTTTTTGTTTGATAACAAAGAACAACAAATTCTCAATTTTTTTCTTTATAAACTATATACGAATTCTACTCAAATCATGCAAAAACTTGAATAGAATTATTTACGTTAAAACCTCTATACGTATAATAAAATGGAGCCATTTTTGGACTTACACATTTAAAATAATATCTGTAAATTCATAATCTAATATATGAAAGTGAAATTCAAAAACACAAGATACAAGAGCAGAAAACTAAATACTATAACCTTCCCCGATCCTTAAATACTCTTAAAATACACAATCGCTCGTAAGCTCATAATCTATACCAATCTCTCTAAAAAGACTACAGCTTGGACCTTCACTGCTTTTCCGCCAGAAGTAATACCCACTAATAATTACTCTTTCATTAATATATTATTCATTAAATGACATAATATATCGTAATATAATAATATAATATAATATATAACATAATATAATATATTATATACACATAATATAATAACTTTCTTATTATTTAATACATTTAGACGCAATCCGAATCATTTATATATCTTTAAATACATTTAAGACACTTTTAAATAAGACTGACGTAGAAGCATCTGGAGGAGAAGAGATTAATTAAGAAACATATTAGATAATAGATGAATCTGTACAGTGTGGCAATCAAATCTGATAAAGTGCAATAGGTTTCAAAAAAATAACAAAAGAATGTCTTATGAAATTGGCGTTTAGGCTGGGCTTCTGGGATATGACCATAAAAAAATTTGATGATAACTCTAGAGCAGTGCAATAGTCACCAAAGACACCAATGAAGTGTTTGATAATCCAAACTTAGAAGGAATTTTTGAGAAATTCTAATGTAATAATGGATAATGTGATATAATAATAAAAACTTAGAAGGAAGGTTTGTGTTACGCCAGTTGAATCGAAACGAATCGACTTCCACCACTCTCAATTTTATTACGCTACCATGGAAAAGACCACATAAAACGAACCATATTGTCTCCCATCGCGATAATGCGAGTTCGTACGTTGAGCGTCGTGAGGTCGAATTTATCGCTCGAAAAGCGCAGTGTGGGGCACCAATTTAACGATTTTATAATTGTGTTGTAAAATTATAATATATTAAACATAAAAATAAATTGAGACAAATATGATAGCATGATGCATAGTTTTGCAAAGTAATCAATTTCCTTTAAACATTTAATAGTATCTGTAACGCTAACCAAAAAGTTCAACTTTAGGTAATAAACTTGGGACGATAACTTAACTTTATAAGTAATGTTTTTATCGCATGTAAGGTTGGAAAAATAATCTTAATAACTTTAAGTTGATCTTTTGTATACCTGTTTGTGTTACAATTAACTGAGACCGAATATAAACCTTAAAAAAAGTCCTATACATAAAATTAATTTAATTAAGCGCGCTTTATTATTACTGAATAATCAATAGTAGATGATAATACCTTCCAACAATAAACCCTCCAATGCATATAATACCAATGATGTGAACATCATGGATTTACCACATAATGAATAGAATACAGAATAGAGAGTTAAGCTTAAAGCTTTAAGTGATTGCTTCGATGAGATCTTGGCATTCACCGTCGATCGTGAGACAACATTGGAAATGGGTCATCTGAAATGTAAATAACCATCAGAATGAATGCGCTCGTTTTCACCCCGTTAAACTCCCCCGAGCTTTCATTACGGCGGCGCTTACATAATTGCAAATATACGTCGGTGAATGTAAATTTAATAGACCGTGAAATTATGCGGAAAATACAAATGAAAACTCACAACAGATGCTAGTGGAATAATTATAGGGATAAAATGAAAAGCAGATTTTACCCTAGTCTAAAAAACAATTCCTGAAAGCTTTTTGATAATAGACGATAGTCTTTGATAATAAGTTTTAATGCATATAAAATATTAATTAAACAAAGTTTTATTACTTCGGTGAGTTTAAAAGAGCTAAAATTGTAATATCTTAAATAATTATAGATGTGAGGTCTGTATATTAAATGTTAATTGAACACATTCAACACAACACAATAATAATAAATTTAATGGTTAGTTAATTCCTAATATAGAATCCACGAGTGATTTCTTTACTATTTTTAGAGGCCATATGGTTATCAAACGAAACAAAGCAAACATTCATAAACCAAAATGAATTGTACATCAATCATAATGTAACTAAGAGGTGTACGTAGTAGACGAGTTTTAAATTTAAAGTATATTCTCAGAAAATTAAAATTTAGTGCATAGATTGTAGTGACACGAACTTGATCTATGGAATTCATTAATTTTTAATAAAAGGTGATATAAATAGAAAATTATTTCTGTTATTTCAGGTAAAATAAAATGTATTAATAATATATGTATGATGTCTATATTTGTGGTTATACCAAATGAATGCAATGAATGAAATTAAGAATATTAAAAATTCATAAACGTCAAGGCCTAAAATAATATAATTTTATTAAAACATGTACCTTATAAAACAAATCTCAACTCAATTTTCAGAGCGAGTTTCTCTAAATCTAAAAGTGACGTGAAGCGAACTCTACGAAACCTACATTGCTAACTCTACAACTACTAAGTTGTAAGTTGTAAGTTATGTGCAAAGACCACAAAGTTGATAGAAATGATTATTAAAACATTAAACAAGAAAAATAAAATTGAGTTTGAATAATTTCACCTAAAATGAAATTGAGGGGGTTTATTAATTATATTAACAAGAGTAACAAAGTTATAGTTTAGTTGCCGTAAACTAGCATTAATTTAATTTCAGAACGAGGCATTCCACGTCCTTTGCCAACCGATCGTCCAACCTGATGGACATCTAGCCGCAGTTCTGGAATTGTGGAGGAAATCACCAGGGGGGCCGTTTCACGAAGAGGACGAGGAGATAACCTGCAGCTATTTAGTTTGGGGCGGTATAGCATTACACTACGCCCATCTCTATTTAACTATGGACAAACAACGGAAGCTTAACGATTTTCTGCTTGCGGTGGTCAAGTATGCATCTTTGATCTTCTTTAACATGTCAATCAACTATCTTATATAACATGCTTGAATTTTTATCCCTTAAAAATAATCCAAAATAAATAAAAAAAAAAAACGCCCCTGAAAGCGTTCCCTAATTATGCAGGAAATGAGATCTATTATACATAAAGCATTGTAGGTATCAGAACTTCAAAGCTAGGAAACATTTTTGTTATCAGGCTAGTTTTGTATAATTACCATAAAAGAGAAGGCCAATCTTCCGCTGCTGGTTCCTTGCCACTCATTTTTAATAAGGGTATTTAATGAAGTTCATTCATTACTTTGATCTTCTTAGAACTTAGTGCAGTGAAAGCAGAAACCATGTGATGACAACTTCTTCAGTATTGACAAACTGTTTCATTATGCCAAATTTGATATAGTGGAAGAAAATTATCTTTTCTTCTTCTTTCAAACATCGATTCTCTATCGATTGGACCACTCGTGAGAAAGCATGTATATGTTGTAAATATTCTGTATTGGCAAAGGAAAACATGCACTCCTTTCAGATCACACAAATGATCCAGTTATATTCAAAGTATTTCAATTGTTCCAGAGGCAGTTATTTTAATTTATGCTTCTTGCAAATACACCGAATGGTCAACAGGATCCTTTGCACAAACATTGCATTATACAATAGAACACCCCTAATAGTTAAACATAAAACCATCTACAAAGAATTGTCATTTTACTGGATTGTACGACGTGGCACCCAATTCTGAAATAGATCTGATCTACAATTCGATCTTTTTATGTGCTTTGAAGAACCCAAACCTTACAGATCTAACATCGTTGTTTCCTGAGTTATTCCAATAGGTATATGAAGACTCGGTATCTGATATAGATGAGTCATCAGTCCCTCAGATATTAAGTCTATCAGAATTTAGTGATTTAATGCGCGATTCAGGTTGTTTAATAAATCTGCTGAAGTATTAACTTCAAAGCTTTATGTAGCTAAAATTGATTAGAGAGATCTGCGATGAGACTATTTCAGAATAGAACAGAAGGTTCTAGTATAATTCTTAAGAAGGAAAAGCATAGAAGTCCGAAAAGCATACCCTTACATTTTCCATTTCTTCAGTCACATGGCTTTTCATCAAAATTATGATGTCACGTGTTACCTGACAAAATACATTTGCAATATTTAGGTACATATTAGTTAACGTAGGGTTTTTGTATTATATTTTGCACCAATGGATACATGGTCTCAACATTTCTAAAAACTTTATTTTATATTCTTTTTCGTATACGCAACGGAATACCTCTTCGATATTATATGGCATATCAAATTAGATACAATCGAAGTAGAAATTCCCGATTAAAACACTAAACTAAAATCAGTTAAAAAATCTTTGCGAATGACAAAGCATGCTCTCTAATCCAACAAAACGCAGCTTCGAATAATATCGGATAGTTTTCAATAATATCGAAAATCCCAACAATATCTATACCATAATACTAAATTACGTTTTACATCATTTTGGCAAATTCCCAAATATCTCGTAAACAAAACCTAAATTTAATAATTTCTCAAAATATTAGGCTATATATAACATGTGCCTCAATTGAGTAATAAACATCTAGCAAAGCTTAATAATAATCCATGACCACCAGTCAACAAAGGTGGCGATCATCAACAATTTGTAATTAAATAGTACAGTAGAATACTATCAAAAATGTAGTTAAAAATAAAAAACATCCGATAAAATTCAAATATATAAATATATAAATACAAACAAATTTATCATCTAATTTTAGATTCATTTCGTTATAATGATTGTAAATTTGTTCAAAACAAATTAAATCAAGTTTGTTTATTAATTTAAGAAAAAAGTAATATGCCAACTTATTGAACTTGACATACAAGATTCATTCTGTGAGCAAATTTCGCAATAAAACGAATATCAATTCGTTTTACAAAGACCTACAGCGAGACTAGAATTTCTAGAATTTCTCTGACGATGATTTTAATCAGGTACAAATACACTAAGAAAGTGAGCTTAGTTCAAAAGATGAAAATATAAGTAATCATAACTAGAAAAAGTAGAAGACTACATAAAAAGTGAATGAGTATAGATGGAACACGGGTGTACCTAAAAGAAAAGGAGAACATCAAAAACGCAATTTGGTTAGATTCGGTGAAAATTACACTAACGAAAAATTTACTCGGGGCGTTATGCAATATTATTTAATGTCTCTCTTTATTACTTTTTTGAAGAAACTTTAACTACAGAAAGATATTTAGATTTTTCAGAACGATACGATTCCTTTCAGAATGGCATCTCGATAATGTTGACCCAACTCTACTAAATTGTCTAAACCAGATTAAAAAATAAAAACTCTCATAGCTAGAGTTTCTTTGCTATTGAACCATATTGTGATGCCCTAGTTCTATATAGGTGTCCTGTATCTTCCGGATCAGAGCATTATTCGGTTGAAGGATACATTATTCTGAACCGATTTTTCTAATAAAAATTTTTCGATATGTTTATAATAACCGAACGAGAACTGTTTAAAGATGTCCAATAGTGGATTCACAAATTCACGGAAAAAGTTTATTTCTCTTTCCGTGTCGAATCTATTGGTGAGTACACGTGAGAAACGTGTCATGAACGGCGCGGCGGACCAGCCGCAGGTGGGGCCGATTACCTGTGTTTGATTTACGATCTGCTATTGGACGACTTTAAACAGTTCCCGTACGGTTATTATAAACATTTCGAAAAAAATTTATTAGAAAAATCGTTTCAGAATAATGTATCCTTCAACCGTATAATGCTCTGATCCGGAAGTTATGGGACAGCCCTCACCAATCAAGATAATAACATTACGAGAAAAATCTTTCTGTATGAATTGAATTGTTCTCTTATCGAATCATTTCTCAAACAACAAAAACAACTACATACTTTGAGAGGAGTATATAATGAGAGAGGAAATAATTAATATAACAGTTTCTCCACAAATTTTAAACGATGTTCCAGTTTTGAGCAAACAAGTTTTTTTGCAGTTATGAATGCTGTAAACATTATCAAGTACAGTGTGTTAATTAATTATCGTACCCGACGTCATTATTGCAAGTATGCAACCAATATCACAGTATTGGTATTGCAATGCGCGATTTGCGTAAGATGCGTATTGCACTGTAATGTTGGTTGCATACTTGCAATGATGACGTCGGATACGATAATTAATTAACACACTGTACCTATATGTGGAGAATATAGATCAATGAGTTACGTACAATGCGCCGATTAATAGATAACCTCCAATGAGATTTTTTCACTACTCTGAGGATATGATAAGTACCAGATTTGTTAAAAGTATTAATTTTTGATCTACGTTATTTTATCTTTAGAGAAATTTCAAGCGATTGCAACCTATACAAAGAGGCGCAAAACTAGGCAACAAACGATTAAAGATCAGGGTGTCTTATATAAACATTTTGGAGAAACAAATACATGCGAATAGAGAGTTATATAAAAATATACTAGGAACAAGATAACAGAGAAACGCGGCATACGGTATATTGGAGTATACAGGGTGATTCTCAACAATTACGCAAAAACTTGGGGATTTATTCCTCGTATAAACAAATAATGACTAATAGATGAAAAAATTGTAGTAAAAGTTTTTTAGTTTTCTAGATATCCGATATAATCGGGACATATAGATAATTTGTTTCCTGAAAGATGGATAGGTCGAGGTGGTCCAATGGCCTGGCCACTGTGATTGCCCTGATTCAATCCTCATGATTTTTAAGTAAAGTATTTTTAAGAAAGTTAATACTGAGCCGAGACAATCCGAAAAAATCCTGGTTTAGGCCGCGCTAGTGGAAGATCGTGGATTCGGGAAGCCCAATTGTGTATAAAAAATATGGGAAATAACTTCGAACACTTACTGTGATGTTATTTTAAAATGTTCTATGTGTTCTAAGTAAATATCAAGGATATCTATGAAACAGAAAATCTTTTACTACACATTTTTTCGCCTATTAGCAATGATTCGTCAAGAGGAGTAAATCCCCAAGTTTATGGGTATAGTTTGAGAATCATCCTGTATACATATATTAATAGAGTCAACATGTAGGCATATGGCGGAAACCGAACAGTCAAAATATGCAAACGCAATCAACCTGCGGGGAAAAGGACACCACGAATAATATCAAAGAGATGAGAGCAATCGTGGCAATCATCATCCGTTGAGGAACAAGAGAAATTCTAAATGAAGAAGAAAAAGATGAAGACTATTTGGCATCCTTCACAGATAAATTAAAAGTTCCATTAAAGGTTATACTCAAATATGAGAGAATAGTTGTAAATACTTGTAAATAAAAAATAAATGTGAGTACAAAAGGTTAATGTTTATTGATGAGCAGTAATAAGAAAATGCTGAAAAAGTAGCAAATACAACATACAATATCAGAACGATAGTAAACAGCAACAATCCTATTAGCTTGATTAGCTGCCTTACCAAAGCGTTTGAAAATATAACTAATACGCGAAATTATTGAAAGTAAACGTCGTTTGGCGAACGCCGGCGTCGTAATTTTTATAAAATTACGCATAATAAATAATAAATGAAATTAATTGTTACAATCGGTAATTCATAGGATCGTTAATAAAATTTATTCCGGGAATTCCTGGAGCTTAAGCTGAATATATCTAACTCGCAGATTAATTGCTTCTAAACAACACCAACAAATTTATTTCAGTGGTGTTTAGTTCAACACGTACTCTTTTTGAGTTCAAAATAAAGGTCACAGAAAATAGGACATTGTTATACATGGATTAAGGGGGTCATCCCATGTTACTGGTTCAAAAAAATCATGCATCCAAATATAGTGTAGAATATGTGACTAAATCATGGGTTGGGTTGGGACTACCACATCTCGAAATTTATCAAGCGAATTCTTTTCATATTTGAACAACTTATTCAGTACTCGTGTAGGCACTTTGCAAACTTGGATAATTCTGATTCGTTAAGCCGTTCTTTTTTTTTCACGGTGAGGAAATCGTAAAAAAAACACCAGAATTCCAGAAAAGGTGT